GAGAGAGAGAGAGAGAGAGACGCAAAAAGCAGTTAAACTAACAGAGAGAGAAAGAAGAGGAGAAAGAAAAAGAGAAGCGTATGCATTATATTTCACATATTGATAACACCATCGCATTTGTTTGGCTTCTCAATCTTTTGCTTCGTGTTTGTGGATGATTTTTTATTTGTTGGTTGTTTGTGTTGCGCGGCGTTGTTCGTCATCATCGTTGCCGCCGCCGTCGTCGTTGTCGGTGATATGAAGCCGTTCGCTCTCATTCTATTTGTGTGCTGTTTGAATGCATTCGTCGGCTCTGTACGTTTGTACACAATGTGAACTTATGTTGAATATCGAAACGTTGAAGAAAAAAAAAACTGCTGAACACGAGAGACACTTTGGCGTCGTCCATACAAAAACCGTTCGAAACATTTTTGTTGTAACTCGGTGCTTTGCTTTTTTTCGTACGCTTCTTCTTCATCATCGTCGTCGTCGTCTTTGTTTTTTCTCTTTCTCTTCGGTGTCATTCCTCATTCGTTCGTTCAAATGGTTGTTATTGTTGTTGTTTTTGTCGTCGTTGGACGTATTTTTTTCTTTCATCTTTTTAATAACATTAAAATTTATCGTCTACTATGTAGAGGTGCCTTTCATGCCATTTGCTTGTGTATGTGTGTGCATGAGATCAGGCATGAATGGAAAAAACTCCAACAAACAACCAAATCTAAAACTACTTTTTCCGACCGTATGTTTTAAGTAATGATTTAGGTTTTTTTGGTTTTTTGCTCGCCTCTCGATTACTATTTCCAAACATGACAACTAATGTGCCGATTTTTATTGTATCGATTAATCGTATCGGGCAAACGGCTTACCAGAGACAGAAGATCAACATATTCAATTCGATGGCAGACCCCATGTGTGATTATTTCTTTTTCTCTCTCCTTTTTTGTTCCGTCTTCAGTTCAGTCCATCAATGTTCGATCAATCTCATTTGAATTAAAAAAAAAATCATGACCTTAATCATTGAATTGCTAATGTGGCGAGTTCATGTTAGACATGTGGCGCGGATTTGTGAGCTGGCTGCCACTCGGTCTACAATCGAGATCCCAAACAGTCGAAAACATCATCATTTGAATCACATTTACAACTCTCACTAAGTCGTTGGTTTTTTTTGGTTTTGGTTTTTGGCAAGTTGATGATCGCGATTAGTCGATTCGATTTGTCGATATTGAAGCAGTCAAGAATGAAATGTCGAACGAAATATCGAAATGAAACCCATTTATCGCTTCCAAGAAAATTGATTACAATTCCGTTTTTGTTGTTGTTGTTGTTGTTGTTTATAAACGTACAAATATGATGTTTGATTAATTTTTCAGTTTAGCAGATAAAAAGAGCGATTACACGAATTCGTAATACCAGAATCCATTTGACTTGTAAACATTAAATTTTTAGATGTTTCAACTGACTTTATACGAGCAAATTGATTTCGAAATGGCATCGCATTAATCATTTGGACTATGGATGTTTATTTTATGGGGCAAAAATGTTTCCAGCTAAACCGATTCGACTGCTCATTTATTTCCCGATTGTTTATTTGCAAAATAAACAATTTAATGTGATAATTATGCGCAATAATCATATTTCTTGATGCAAAAACCATGTAATTACGCTCATTCAACAAGTGCGCGAAAAACGCCTGTGTACGTGAGGGTTTCATACGAGCGTACGATCGCAGTGAGCGATCGAGCGAATGAACAAACAATCGCTGTGGGCTCGTAGTTCACAAATGTGCTGCTTAACTAATGCGCGTTTCTGTTTCTTGGATAAACGGAGTTTCGTGTCAATTGATTAAATTTTTTCCAATGAATTGTTTATTACGCTGTTCTCTGTTGATTATTATGAGCAATTCAAAACCATTTTGAAGGGTTTTTTTTTGGGTTCGTGTACTACACAGCAATGTGTACAGTACACAGTTAATTTCCCGGTTAGTCACTATGACATTGAAATTGACACATTGGCCGGTGGACAATTTTCACGTTGCTCAAGCTGAAGCATATCCCAATTTACAATTTGAGGCTACGAAATATGTAGTTTGTGACGTTGTCAAAAATAAGTATTTCATCATCTCGATGCGGGAATAAAAGAGACATTAGAGAGAGATATACCGAAGACAGTTGATAATTCTCAAGTTGATTTATTTCCGATTGTTTTGGATGTGTCAAACAGCTCAATTTCGAGAACGATCTCTTTTTCGTAAAGCGCATTTTTGTTTTGATTGAAACCCAATTCTCATTCCTCTTATCGTTTAGTTGAGAAAAAAAACCGATTTTGATTAAAATGAAACCAAATACCGATTGCCTGTCAGCCAGAAATCGCACATAATATAAAGGCGTAAAGATAATAAATGAAAGAAAATAAAATCAGCAGCTCGACTAAAAATTCCATTTGCCGGCGGTGGAATGGCATGACAAACGGTAAATCGGAGCTAAATCAATTGTAAACAATTATTATGTACATGCTTATCGCTTCGAGCTGTCATTTGCACACGAGCTTCCGTTGATCCCATTCGGATTTTCAAAGAAGTCATAATCATCAAAAAATATTCGAGAATTTTTTTTTCTTTAGACGAAGCTGAAAGATACTGCGACAGACACACACACAAAATGAGCTAGAGCAATCATTTTATCGGGCCTGCGCACACTTGTGCTTTTGAGTTTGAGAGCACTTTTTGAATGACTCTCTTGGAGAATATTAATTTTCATTTATTTCGATGTAGACTTTGAATTTATTCTCTGGCTGAAAATGGAATGTGTCAAAACATGTGTTTGCATATGTGTTCATGATCATACAAGCCGATGTTCAATAGAACAAAAAACGATGTTTTTCTTCGAAAAAAAAGTCAGCTATTAGCATCGCCTCATTAGTTAATGACAGTGATTTTGGGCTTAATTTAATGGGGAATTTCGATTTTAATTGTGGCAAAAGCACCATCGTGACCGACCGACCGGCCAATTGATCGTCAGACGGACAATGACGCGATGAAACGAAAATTGATGTTAATTCCCACGAAATGGAACACTCATCAAATTATGGCCGCCCTAGAGCGTTTTCGCACGAATCCCTAACCGCTTATAACGAAAGGCAGAGAGAATATCTCTAATTGAAATTGCGCGCAACTCAAATGCAATACATTTTATCAGTTTTTGTTCGTATAGTCAACGTTTATTTTTTTCATGCATAAAAATACGCCATAATAACTGTTTTCGTTTATCATAAACGAGTAGGTAGAATTGCCGTCTGTCTCGACATTCAATTTGTAGGTTCATATAACACTTAAGTACAATAAATGTATAAAAAAAGGCAATTTTGATCATAGTACATAGTGTGTATATGGCCAGGCTATGCCGCCAAGTAACTATATATGATATAGCGATATTTCGTCGTGTTATTGCTTATTCAGTATATCGTAGCGCTCTAGATTCGGTGGCAATGCAATATTATATCCATTATTAGTTTATGACTTGTGTCCGGTGTGCAGAAATACAAAATTCTTTCAAAATTCAATTCATTTTTCCTCTTTATCTCTTTCCCTCTGTGCTTCTCTCCTTAAATCGTAATGCCGATCATTTCCTTTGAAAAACAATCGATGTGAGGTAATGGTATCGTCGATTTTACAACAAGTTTATGGGTCATAAATTATGCAATTGACTATACTTTAGCTGCTTCCAAAAAATACTGAGCAAATTTCATTCGAAAAAAAAACAAAGGGAACCGAAATGAAAGATCACACCGCAAACATGAATCATATTGCCGAAGTGACAATGTCACGTCGTTACAAGTTTTTGTGGCTCTGTTTCGACTGAATTTTGCTGACTTTGTATCCAATTATGATTTTGTTTAATAAGGGGACCCCAAGTGCAAATGATGATGACACAGAGACAATCAAAATGAGGCGCACTAATTTCTAAAAATGGAATTACTTCAGCGGAACATGATTGGGTCGCCTTTGTCTTTCGCACAAATGCGTTCAATCTCACACACAAAGAACAATGCATTTTGCGCGCGACAAACACAGAGAGCGAGAGAGAGAGAGAGAGAGAGAGAGAGAGAGAGAGAGTGAGAGTGAATGTTTACATTCAGATGGGCTGACTCATCGCGGCAGCTTGCGCATTGTTGCTGGCTCGGAATGTTATACATTTAATAAAGTCAACAAGACAGCAAGTGCGCGCGCTGAAACAAAGAACACGATTGAGCGAGCATTGAGCGATTTATGCCACTAGAAATAGTGATCGAGTCTTGACAAAACCTGCAATGCGACCGATTTTATTTTTATTTATAAAACAGACCGTTTTCTTTGAAAACTTTGCGGGCGATGATTGTTTTTGACACAGTTTTTCACCGTAAAACAGAAACAGAAACACAAATGGCAACACAGCACTCGCCGACTAATTGCTATAGGCCAGAAGATTTATTTTGTCGTTTCTTCTCAATTCACAAATATCGACGGACAATGTTGCGTTGCAATTTATTATCACTCGAGTAATAGAGCAATAAAAATAAGTCATAAATTGTGTATCATTTTGCTCTTCTCGCCTAGAGATTTGTTACCCAGAAATGAGTGCGAATAACAACAACGAAATGAGCAAACGATTAAAAAAAATCATTTACATTTCTCTGTGATTGAAGATTGGTTTCAGATTTTTATTGCATAATAAAAATTCAATTTAAAAAAGGAAAACCGATTCGTCTATTTTTACCCAGGCAAAGCGGGCAAAAACTTTTTACAATTCGACACTTTATAGCCGTCACATGTCACATTAAGTTTCGGTCATTGCGATATTTGATTCCTGTTTTGAGGTTTGCCACATAAAAAAAGCACTCTTTAACGATCGCTTTTGATTCTTTCATTTCATTTGAGTTTTTTTTATTCATAGCGCGAACAACGGCATCGCGAATAACAATTCTCTTGAATAATACTATAAAATCTTAAAACAACTAAAAATAGACTCGAACAATTTCATTATTCATTTTCTTTTTTTGCAATCTCTCAAAATAGACATTATTGGAAATAAAAAAAGAGTATCTGAAGTTTTATAGATTTTTATGCTAAAGAGATAACGTTTTCGTTGGAAAGCAATTGTTGTTTTCAACTTCAATTATTTAATCGACAGTCCTATGACGAAGTGGGTAAAAATAAACCGAAAGGTCGAGAAAAAAAGAAGAAGAGAACAGGAAAAAATGTCTATAAAATGATGGACTAATCATCGACATGTGCGCATCAAATAAAAAGTATCAGACCGCATTGACTTTGCGAATGATCACCGTCATTCGTTCGATTCGTCTTGATTGACTGCTGTTGCTAATGCTGTGTATTTCTATCTCTCTCTTCTTGTTAATTTCCTCTGTCAATTTCATCGACCGCTTGCCAATTTTGCATCGAATTTAATCGATTAGACACGTTTAATTGATTGTATCATCTGGTCGTGTGTATGTTTACTGTCTGCGTGAGACACCGACACAAGCGCCGTACCATTCATTATACCGTTTGATTTGGATGAACATCCAAAAATCATTTTGATAATTCGGCAGCGTACGCGCACGCTCTTTAGAAAGACACACACAAAGAGAGCAAATCACTTGTAAGCGCGCGATTCGCTGTATGTTTTGTTTGCCTGGCGTTTTTGTGCCACCGACGGGGCTCTAATCATTTGTTTTATCACTGTTTCGTATAATTATTATTATATGGCATCGTCATTAATATTTCGTTCGTTAGCACGATTCTATCTCTTTCGAGAGTTGAAAATGTGCCAAAAATGAATAAAATAAAAAAATAAAACCGCGAGAGTAATCCAAGCGAAAGAAAAATTATGTCATGTGTCATTGCTATGCACAAGACAGGCACGGGTTCGGTTGGTTTGATCGTGCCAGAGTTGAGGTTATCATGCTGCTACTGCTGCTGTTATTTCATAGCAATTCCAATGACCAATCCTATTCTCCGTTTCACATTTCTTCGCCCCAAAAGATGATGCTTTACAATGTGTACACACAACAAAATATCTATCACAATCGTTTTTTTCTTTCGTTCTCAGAATCGACGAAGGAAAAACCGTCATTCTCTGAATCAGTGATTACGTACGTTTAAATGTAAATTGTAGCTTCAATATAAACCTACCGCGTAGCGCCTCATAAATAATAAGAAATAACGACCGAAAAAAAGAGAAGCGGTTCAATCTGAAAAATTCCACACTTGGCCTTTGATAACACGTTCATTGTACGGAGGCAGACCAATGAAGAGTGAAGCGTAATCGAAAAAAATAAACATTGTAGAAAATCAACAAAAATGAAAATATACTGTCACACACAGAGCATGGCATTCGAATAGATCGACGGCGATTCGGATTTATCACTTGATTGTTTTCAATTATTATTGGCTTGAGATCAGACATTGAATGGATTGTTTAGCATTTAATGTGTTGTTATTTTTTTTCATTTGATACATCTGATGACCGCCGAGCTCTGAGTTTTTGAGTTGTACGCACGATGAATGTCAAATCTAAGACGAATTTCAAGTGCCTAGAATATTCACCTTTAGTCATACGAAATCCGTCAACTGACCACTTCACTCGAATAACAAACGAATGAATGTGTGTGAGTGTGTCTCTACAATGACATTCCAATCAGCGAAATCAATGAAAAATTGGAAATGACTAAATGACTCATGGGAATTGCACAATGGACTGCGCAAATTCGTGTTAATGCCTGTTTGTAACATTGCATTATCCTATGCGTCACGAAACAACAAAAAAACATCAGCAACAACAACAATAAACAAGAACTATACAGAGCGCATAGCTCTTCTCACGTTCCACATGGAAACGTTCCTTGAAATGAGTGTACTTTGTCGTTGTCGCCGGGAAAGTCATGCGATATAATTAACGATCAACTTGCAACACCATCAATTTAATGATCGCTTTTTAACACTCATTATCAATTGCTTTGATCGAAAGTGTATACAATGTGCATTAGCAATGCATGTATAAACAAAATAGAGACATATGAACGGTTTATTTTTGTTTGAACATGAAAATGGGGAGAGTTTACTGCTGGCGATTGTCATTCGACAGTTTTGCCTCTCGTTTCGATATATGCAGGTGAAGAATGTTATTGGGATTTTTTTCTGTTTTTAACACCATTATAAATCAATAAAAAAAATATGCGTCATACCGTGAAATCTGCATGTAACATTTTTCCCACTCTTCTAAGAAGAAGACTTCTTCCTATAATTGATTTGATGTTACGAAAAAAAAATCAATTTTCAAACCGTACTAGGTCACACAAATGATGGATAATTTTATTGATGCGCCGGCGAACCTAACACAAAGAGACGATTTAAGTAATGGCGTTAGCCTTCGAATTGGCACGCGACTCTCCACCGCCATTCCCAGCAAATTGATGAAAAGAAACATGTGAATCAAATTGCTCAAAATTTGATTCACTTCAATTTGATCTTGACTCACATAAAATTGAGATGCAAACAATTTGCTATGGAAATTGACTGACCGACCAACCGACCGCTCATTGGACCGTTCATAATTTCTTGCGCTGTTGTCAACGTCTCGACTCGAGCATTTATTTCAATTGTTCATTTGGATTGACATATATGATTTGAAATTGCCATCGTTTCTTCGTCTTCTTGTTTTTGTTGTTGTTCATGTTGTTTCTAATTTCAGACGTGAAACTTAACGGTGAACGTCCACTGTTGTTCACTCACCGTTGATATGCGGTTCGTGTGTTTTTGTTAGATGAACAAAAAAAATAATATGAATCATCCATGAGCATTTGCGTCGCAATCATCATCGCCCGAAATTCAAATTCCCTTTTTTTACTGCGCGTCTCCATTCACCTACTACCTTTCCACACGATGAACATGAACCAGCTGATTGCTGTCAGACAGAAAATCACACGATGGGGCAAAAATTAGATTCGTTTCGCTTCGTTCATGTTTCAGACGCGATTATTCTCTTGTTGTTGTTTTTTTTTTGCTCTTGCGCATCCCAAATGTACATGAACTGTGCGAGTTTTCAGAAAGTCATTGTGAATTCGCGCGCCAAACAATTACATGACTATACAAGCATATACATATTTTTTGCTCTCTTATTACTTTGCGCCGAGACGTCCATCCGTTTGACTTGTAATGATAAATGCGAGCGGAGCGTGGTGGAGAGAAACGAGCGAGAGAGAAACAAGTTTGACCGAACCATCGAAATAGATTACAGCAACAACAATGCGATTTTGTGGTGACGTTCAGAGACACGATAAAGAGAACACCGGCCCCCGAAAATAAATAAATTTTTCGTTTCGCTGTTGTTGTTCCGTTCAGGCGAGAGAGTGACACGAGATCGGGCCAGACGACAGCCGACGGATGATGATGACTTAACCCCAATGACATACAAAAATTTGCAGGATTCGCTGTAATTTTCCATTGTCATTCCACTGTCAATCGCGTGTGAAAATGTGTGTTTGTTTGCCAACAGCAACAAAACTTTGTTGCGCTTCAGACGGACTTTTCGGTGTGTTCTCTCTGATTTTTTTTTCAAAAATGTGAGTCGGGGCTTATAATTGAATTTATTAGCTAATCATGCCCAAAAACAAACTGTCAAATCGGTTTATGACTTACCTTTTGGGAAAATTAAGATGAGATGATAATCATCAAAGCCCATTTTCTCATGTGAAAAAGAAATGAAACTATTTCTTTCTTTTGTAATGACACCGTGCATGCAGTACCTTTGTATTTGTCCTAATCGGTGTCTCTCATCAGATCCCATTTTTAAGAGACAGCTCCTAATTAATGAAGTACTCTTGACGATTATCTTACTCTCCATCGCCCACATGGCTGACACTATATGCCGAACGAACAGAGGATAAAACCAGAGCAACAGTTGAACAACCGCTTATGTATCAATATTTACTATTCACACATCCCAAACGCGAGCACCGTGCAGCAACATTTTTGATGTTCCTTTTTATGTGTCGAGATTTGCTCTTGTTCCACTATCTCATTCACTCTCGGCGTGTTCTCCCTCACTCACTCACTCTCACAGTCACATTATTTGTGTGTTTATTTCCTCAGGTACTTATCAAAATAAAACACAGAACGTATTTGTTTGTTCAAATGTCGACGACGCGCGATCCACTCCATAGCTCGTGATATGCCACAAATGAATCAAACTTATAGATATTGCAACGTTTCTCTTCTCGTTTGCTACTCATTTTTATTTTCATAGCCACACATCGAGCGAGCCAGTAGACAGACAATGAAAACATTCACAGCGACCAGCTCATCAAAATATAACACTATTCCTTCAAAAACAAATATATTGATCATAAGCACATATGCGCGATACCCAGTCCGGCCCCGTTATTCGTATACAAATCGTTCAAATTAAATGAAAACAAATTAAGACACAGATTGAAAATAACCTGAGTTCTGTTTTTTTTTCTCTTTCAAGAAAAGAAGTTTATTCTTTTAGATGCCATAGTTCACAGTTTGATGAGATAACACATAATTATTTTATCGAGAATTTATATATATTAATATATGAATAAGTGGGATACAAAAGATGTGTGATTGGAATGTACATTCAACACTTTTACCGTAGGAGTAGGAATCGAATAATTATCATTACACAGTTACTGGCTCAAAGCATACGCGCTTTTATTTAAATTTTATTGTTTCGTTCATACAACATTAGTTTTTGTCCACTGACCATGTGCACCGATAAAATAACCCAAATGGATATTAAAGTCAGTTGAAATCACTTCAGATCAGTTCAGTTGATGGGCTGGCGATTCAGAGTTAATTATGCGATCGTTTCCTGTAACGTTTCCCAAATCAGATGAACGTGTAGAAAATTGTCCGGGTAGCTCATATGCTCCGACAGCCACTGCAGCGGGGTCTCTTTTTCGATTTCGATGCCATGTGTTAGACAAGTAACTGAAATGAGAGAAAGAAAGATGAAGGAGTGGAAGAAAATGCCGAACGAAAAATAAGTGGTTGAACATATTTTAATTAATTCATTAGATCAGATAAGTATGGTGCAGCTGAGCTGCAGACAAGGAATGAACAAAAAGCCACCCATTATCGTAATAATTTTTTTAAAATGCGCAGCGATTCGGAAATTTTTATCGCACTTCTGACCCAAACAAATGGTCAAACCATCCTCCAAATTGTGTATGTGTGTGTGTGCTGCTTTTGAACATATTTGGTTTTCAAAAAATTGGTGCGCGTCTCTCTCTTTACGTCATATCGCTTCGGCAATTCTCCTTTTTCTCTGTTCTCTATCCATATAGTCGAGAATAGAGTACTATTAACTAATAATAATCCACGGTCGGTGGTCTCATTTTATTATCAATCAAACATCAGTCAAATACGATTATCTTCATTAATCGCTTATTGTTTCTTCATGGAGCGGTAAATATCGGTGTTGCAGAAACAAGAAAAAGAAGCAGAGAAACAACACGCACACCGTCATTAAACCGAATTATATTAATTTAGTAATGGTCGAAACAAAAAATCAAGTTTTTCTAATGAATTAAATAGAAGAAAAGGTACTAACGAACGGAACGGAACTGAAGTGAGTAAGTAGCAAAAGAAGAAGAAGGAGGAGGAAAAAAATAACTCACACTCAAGTGAACGCGGTTCGCTTTTCTCTCACGGTGTGACGTAATCTGAGATAGTTCAGTTATGCACATGATGATGAGTTATCATTTCTACGGCTTTTCTTGCTCCGCGCTTATGCATTTTCGAACGTGTTCATCGTTCCATAATCAACTTACTAGACTCGTTGGCATTGTCTCTTTACGACGTCGATGACGACCACGAAGTAGAAGTATTAGTAGAAAAAGAAACATATCGAGTAGAAAAAAACGAATAGAGTTCTATCCGACCGTCGGTCAAATCTAAATGTAATCGGAGAACGGAAGAAAATAGCGCAACATGAAAACTCTTTTAAACTCGATGATTTTTTCGTCTTATATTTTTCATTAACAATTTGTGTGCGTCAAAAACACATTATTTTTCTTTTTTGCTCTCTTTCTCTCGCTTTACAATAATAATAATAACAATGTTCTAAGCATAGATATAGTGCCACAATACATTTCAAATCGAAGTCATTTGACACATAGCAGTCAATGCCATCTCAATTCCAACTCATTGAATCATTGAATTTTTCGGCAACTTTTTTCAAACGTGTATGGCTTTACTAGAATAAAATCAACTTTACGGCGACGCTAACAGCTTCTCTGTGGGCCGTTACTATGTATTGATGTTTTGCAATGGTTACTCGATGCATTTGCCAAAATACTATGATTTTTGTACTTTCTTCTACGATGTGTGTGTGCAGAGAAGCTGCTAGTGTCGCCGTAAAGTTGATTATATTCAACTCAAGCCATACACGATTGAAAAAAGTTGCTCGAAATATTCGATGATTCAATGAGTTGGTTCAGAGATGTCATTGGCTGTCTTTTGATATTCCGGCAATATATTTATGGTTCTAAGCATTTTAGAATGAAGCGTTGAGTAAGCAGCAAAAACAACAACAGTCGGCGAGTGAGACAACGACCGACCGAACGGCCGGCCGGACAGGCATTCAACATCGGCACGTCGAAATCAAATGGCTTTAATGTCACTGATTAAAATCTTCACGAAGGTTTTTTTGTTATTGTCATATTCTAACCATTTCAGGTGATAATATGGTATCAATTAAAAGTTAGTTTTAGGAGAAATATAAATGGAAATGAACTTCAAGATGGAGATAAGACCACTAAACCCATTAAATGGGGTGTACGTTTTGACTTTAGTTGCCATAGAACAGCTCATAGAACTTGAAGACTAACGTCGTTTGTATGAGAAGAGCCATGAACGGCAGCATGTGGAGCGAAAATATGTAAAGCAACATCGTTGTTGGGTCACATGCCAAAACAATAACAACACATAAAACGCCTGTTTGTCTCGCGCGTTCACAAGCGACCAAATTCAAAAGAGGACCGCGCTACCATAAAAAAAATTGCTCTCTGCCAATCTGGTTTTATGTAAGTTCTTTTCGCGCGCACGCACTATCTCACTCATACCAAAGACGTCATTCTAAGGAGACAGTCACGATTTGAAATGTGCAACTATATGACATAAAACACACGTTCTCTCACCGCTTTGCAGTAATTTCGATTCGGTGCCGAAGAGCACAGCGCGCTACCCGATGACTGAAATGTATGACGTTCGCTTGTTGCCGTTGAAATATTAATCGATTCTCACGAAACGGAGAGAAAAAAAAACACGTTAATTAATTCCTTCCTTTTCAACCGAATTAATTAATGATCGCGAAAAAAAACACAAACACACACATAAATTCGTCTGAATGTTCAAATTTTAATCACACCAGATAACATTAATAATGAAAACCGATGTCTCATCAGAAGAGACGAATGACAATCGAAATTGTGAAGAAAAGAAATATGTCCCTTAATTTCGAATTGACCACCTGAATTTTTTTCGACAGCGGCGGCGCGCACCATTATCAATGAAAAAAATATAGAAGAGAATAATAAAGAAATAATCAAACGAACCGTGAACATTCCTGAAGTTCGTGTTGTGTAAAACGATTAAAAGCCCAACGCCTTTTTGGCATGGCTAAAGGTGACTCATAAAGACGCGTTTTTATTAAAATTGTGGTGCACGTAGTTTTTAAAGTTTTCACCAGCTCAGAAACACTTTATTATTTGTTCGTTGTCTTTTTCTTGCGAGAGAGAGAGAGACAGAGTGTGTGTTTGTGTGTATTTCGGATATGGGCCGTTTACAACATTTTACACACAAGTGAATGAATTACACATTTTAGCAGTTTTCTAACCAAAAATCCACTTATTCGTCGCGAAAAACAAAAAATGATTTCGACCTAAGATAATCAGAACGCGCGCGTTTTTGCTACACGATGGAAGGATGGAATTAAAATTTTTGCGAACATCTTTTATGAGTTTCGTTTAAATGTTCTTTTAGTTCGGCGTCCATTTTCAATGCAGAATCCCTATGTAATAATCGATTTAATTTTAACGCCGTTGCTTACGAATTCACTTTACATCGTGTTTTGATCGAACCATGTGCAATACATGACAGAAGTAGAAGTAAGTTATAGCTCGACCGTGTGTCCGATGATAAATCACTTTTTTATGGTATTTTAAGGAATTTCCAACTTGATGATGGCATTTGATTTTTTCCCTCCTTTTTCTGTTGTCTCATTCTTCTCATTTGCCCTTCACGAAACAAAACAAAAAAAAACAAAAAAAAAACAAAATAAAGCCGAACCGAAGCGAAAAAAGCGCTCAAATAATCTTCGATTGGAATTTAGATAAAATTCTTTTCTGTGATTTCTGTATAAAAATTCCATTTCATTTCAGGATTATGATTGTTTTTTTTTCTCCGGTTTTGTTTCCAATCGATTTAGGTGTTGTTCACTGCAGTAGAATGCGCATCGAATGGCGGGCGGGCGGTTGTGATCGAGCAATTAAGATAAATTGAGATAAATTAATTTTCGGACTGTATTTCATCTCTTTAAGCGAGCAGCAGCAGCAGCAACAACACTGATTTTTCTGCTGAATTCTACATTTGAATACAATTCATCATTCTAGCACTGAAACATTCTTGAGCTGATTTCAGATGCTGATCTTGCGTGCATCAAGGGCGTTGTTTTCGTCGAATTGTCGATTGAGATTTCCTGAATGCGCGACAACCCGTAATTTGGTGGACTTTGTATGTTGTGTATACTGAAGCATCGATGCTATCGATGCGACCGCAACACAGATGCATTACATTCCGACGTGTCAATCAACCAAACAACTTTTTGGCTAGCCAGACATTGTGACTGCACCTCGTTTTGTCATTCATCTTAAAATGGTCGGTGCCACACGGAACACAGCACACTCACTGTAGAGGCCCGAAGAGAAAGAGAAAGGTAAGTACGCACAAAGAATCATTGACAGCTCAGCTTACCCAAGCAAATAACGTGTGTTGTTGATACAAAACGCACGGCAGCAAAATGCAAAGTTCGAGAGATGAAGAAAAAAGGTAAAATGAAGACTCGAAGAAAAAAAAATCAGAAAATTTACGGCGGACATTGGGTATGTGTTCTTTTTCTCTCTTTCTGGTGAGTATTGTTCACAAGCTTCTAGTATTACGCGCGTTGGTGCTCACTTCGGAATTGCATGCGGCAAAGTCGGCAACAAGGTAAAGGCGGCGAAAAAAAGGCACAGGCTTACTTACCGTCGGTAATATTGTTTGAACATTCGTTTTGGGAAGCATACACGAATTCGAAGTAGGAAAGAGACAGAGAGAGATGGAGAAGGAAACAAGCTGGTTCTCTATTCATTGTTCCACGTCGCTTATTCTTAAAGGATGATTGATTTGATGTAAATGTCGGAGAGCCAGTGCATTCAATACACAAAACCCAGTAGCTATTAAGCGAATCGCTTATTTCTCTCTATTCATGTCCATCGGTTAACGGTAGGTAGTCCCGAGAGTGTTGAATTGTCCTTCTCGGTGTGTGTTTCTATTTCATGTGTGTGTGTGTGTTTTTTTTATCTTTCGATTGAAAGTGCCGACATTTTCAAACTACCTCCGGCAACCACCAATATCGACTAGCACCAATTTTTCTGTGTGTTGTCTTTTATTCTACTCTTAATTGCTGCTGCTTCCGAATGATTTGAGAAATTTTTACTTTCGCTTTAATTATAATGAATTTCAATTTTCCTCGTTATGTATATACGCTTTCTTTGGGGTGCGGTAACGTCTTCGATGGATTTTCACTGTCCGTTTTTTTTGGAAATCGGGCATCCTATTGTCGATGCACGCAGAGAAAAAAAAAATTAACATTTTGTCTTCTCTTTAAAATTGGTTTTTATCGCGTTGTCATTTAAAATCATAGTCCGACAAAGCGAAAACTGAGCACA